ATAGAGAACTGAATCAAATTTATAAGAATGAAAGCCATTCCCCAACTGATAAATGGTCAAAGGATATGAACAGGCAGTTTTCAGATGAAGAAATTAAAGCTTTCTATAGTCATATGACAAAATGCTCTAAATCAATATTGATTACAGAAATGCAAATCAAAACAACTCTGAGGTACCACATCACACCTATCAGACTGGCTAACATGACAAAACAGGAAAATGATAAATGTTGGAGAAGATGTGGGAAGATTGGAATACTAATGCATTGTTAGTGGAGTTGTGAAATGATCCAACCATTCTGGAAAGCAATTTGGAACTATGTCCAAAGGGCTATAAAACTGTGCATACCCTTTGATCCAGCAATACCACTTCTAGGTCTGTATCCCAAAGAGATCATGCAAATGGGAAAAGGACCCACATGTACAAAAATATTTATAGCAGCTCTTTTTGTGGTGGCCAAGAATTGGAAATTGAGGGGATGCCCACTAATTGGGAAATGGCTGAACAAGTTGTGGTATATGAATGCAATGGAAAACTATTATTCCATAAGAAATGATGAGCAGGTGGACTTTAGAAGAACCTGGAAAGATTTGCAGGAACTGATTCTGAGTCAAATGAGCAGAACCAGGAGAACATTGTACACAGCAACAGCAACATTGTATGATGACCAACTTTAATAGACTTAGCTCTTCTCAGCAATGCAAGGATCGAAGACAACTGTAAAAGACTCATGAAGGAAAATGTTATCCACCTCCAGAGAAAGAACTATGGAGTCTGAATGTAGATGAACTTTTTTTGTTGTTGTTTTCTTCTTCCTCATGGTTTTCCCCTTTGGTTCTAATTCTTCTTTACAACATGACTAATATGGAAATATGTTTAATATGATTGTACATGTATGGCCTGCATCAGATTGCACACCATCTTGGGGAGAGGAAGAAAAATTAAAACTCAAAATTTTATAAAAGTTAATTTTGAAAACTAAAAATAAAGTTTTTTTTTTTTATTAAAGATACTGGAATGGTTTGCCTTTTCCTTCTACAGCTCATTTTACAGATGAGGAAACTGAGGTAAAGAGGATTGAGTGATTTGCCCAGGGTCATATAGCTAGTGTTTGAGGCCAGATTTGAAGTGAAGAATTTGAGTCTTCCTGACTTAAAGGCTGGGACTCTATCCATTGTGCCACCTAGCAGACCTACAACAAACCTGAGAAGTGGTCATCAAATCTTTGTTCAAGTAAGGGGGAAACCACTTCTTCCCGAGCTAGACTATTCCATATTTGGATATCTTTCATCATTAGGAAGTTTTTCTATATAGAATGAGAAGGTTGGATAGATAGTGTCTAATGTCCCTTTCAGTTCTAAATTCTATTTAACACAGAATAATACTATGTTAGACAGCACTAGGCCAAGTCTAGATCCTTGGAAGTCCACTGGAAACATCCCATTGTCTAGCCCACAGATCTCTATTGTCCACAAGTATAATATAAGAAACCACTAAATGCTTCATTAAAGTCTAGGTAAACTATGTAAGTTTCATCTGGAATGACTTGTTTTTGTGTAGGCCATGCTGGCTTTTTGTAAGCCTTTATTTTTCTAGATTTTCACTAACCATCTCTCTTAATAATACATTCTATAATGTTGCCAGAATAGTTTGCAAAATCCATTCTCTTCTCTTAAAAATTACAGATATTTACCATTCTCTAATCCTACAAAACCTCTCCTAGTCTCCAGGTTTTTTCTGTTTAAAGACAATGCCTCAGTAATCAAAACTGCCAGTTCTTTCAGGACTCAAGAATATAGTTTATCTAGGCCAAATGACCTGAACTTATCAAGGGTGTCTAGGGAACCACTTATATATCTTACTTATTTGGGGTATCAATTTGTTATCAGTCATAATTTCTCTGTTAATTTTCATCTAAAGATTATTCTTTTTGTCAAAGAAAAGAGAAGCAAAATAAAAATTAAACAGTTCTTCCCTCAATTGTCAGTTAACATTGGCCTGGCACCCTCAATAGAAGTTCCATTCCTTCTTTGAAGCTCCTCTTTTCTACAATATAGCTAAAAAAAAATACCCTTTTGTCATCATTAAGTTTTCCCTGACAGCTTCAGCTCATTCTTAGTTTTAGTTCTCCTGATGCTATTCCTATAGGACTATGCCAAGTTTTACAATTAATAAATCTACCAGTCAATAAGAATTTAAGTATTTAGCATTGTGCTAAGTGTAAGGAATACAATGAAAATGATAAATAGTCCCTGCTCTTAAAATACTTACATTCTAATAAGAAAGAAAATATATCTGTAAAGAATAGATGGAAGGTAACTTTAAAGATTAAAGAACTAGCAATCAGGCAGACTGGGAAAGACCTCCTGCAGAAGGTGGCATTTGAGCAAAGTCTTGAAGGAAGTCAGGATTCTTCGAGGCAGAGGTAAGGAGGGAAAATATTCCAGGTAAACAGGACAGCCAGTAAAAAGGCACAGAGATGGGAGGGGCCTTGTGTGTAAGAAACAGAAGTTGGACCAGTATGACTGAACTGAAGAGACCATGGAAAGAAATGTGTAAGAAGACTGGAAAGATGAAGGGCCTGGTTGTAAATGACAGGATCCTAATAAAGCTGTCCCCAGCCCCAATATTCTAACTTCCTTATGGACCCTACTGAACGGCAGGCATGTCTTGATTTATCACACAATCTGGCTTTAACCACATCACAAGTCCCTAAACACAATCACAGGCCACACTGAACAGCATACCTACTGTCCCTAACGAGCCACTGCCCCAAGCTAGCCACTGCCCCCAGATCCAATTCACATATTTGAATAGGTGTGTTCTTGTACTCAACCACAATCACATCATCTATTTAGCCCAAGACAGGACCACAATACCTAACTATCCATCTTGACCGACAGGACCATAATAGCTAGCCAATCAGAAAGCAGATCTTTGACCACTGAACCATAAAAGGGACCCTCTCCCCTATTACCTAATCCCTTAACAAACCCCTCCTGCCTTTTTAATATTAATCACATTCTTATATTCTATGTAAATTATGATTGTGTAATCAGCATCATATACTCTATAAAATCATCTGGCTTGCTTTACTGAAATCACTAGTTCCTCTAAGGAACTTCGCCACTCACCAGAGCATGAAACCTCAAAATCACAATAAATCTCTCTAACTGGCTTGCAGTTGGCCTGAGTCTTTGAAATTCTTTGAGACACCCCACCACATGACAACCTGACCTTCATCAATAAACAGCTTACATCGCAAATGGGGAAGTTTCTATGTGGTCCAAGAGATAATAACAACAATAATAGCCAACATTTATATAGCATTTATTATGTGCCAGACACTGTGCTAAGTGCTTTACAATTATCATTTGATCCTAATAACTTTGGGAATTAGGTGCTATTATTTCCCCCATTTTACAGATACAGAAACTGAGGCAAACAGGGTTAAGTGACTTGCCCAGGGTCACACAGTAAGTGTCTGAGGTCAGATTTGGAGTCTTCCTGACTCCAGGCCTGGTGCTCAATCTACTGTGTCACTTAGCAACTAAATATTCATATGGTACTTTGAAGATTTGCAAAGTATTTTACAAATATCATCTCATTTTGACCTCACAACTCTGAGAGTTGTGCTATTATTACCCCCATTTACAGATGAGGAAACTGAGGAAGAGGTTGATTTGCCCAGGGTCATACAGCTAGTATCTGAAGCAAGATTTGAACTTGACTCTATGCCCAGCGCTCTATCTACTGTTCAACTTAAATGCCTCATAATAGAGAGCCACTGGATTTTATTGAGTGAAGCGGGGGCATTAGATGATCACACTTACACTTTAAATCAGCCTGGCAGTTGTATGGAAGATGAACTTTAATAGCAAGAAACTGCCAATTAAGAGAGTACTGCAATAGTCCAGTGAGAGGTGATGAAAACCTAAACTAGGATAGTGGGGGTATGAGTGGTGAGGATGAGAAAGCTATAGAACAGATACAAGATTTTGTGCAGAGGAAGAAACAAGATTTGGCAATTGATTGGAAATATGGAGTGAAAGAGAGGGAAGATGGAACCAAAATTGTGAACCTAAGTGACTAGAAGACTAGTGGTACCTTTGATGGTAAAAGGAAATATTCGATCTACGTTACCTGCTTACTTTCATCTTATATATGTGTCTTTTAAATATCTAAGCTGTTGGATAATTTCCCCCTGAATACACATTCATCTCTTTACACTACTCCTTTTTATCACCAATGGCATCATTTTTCTCGGTGTCTTCAGAACTCATTCTAGAGAGCTTCCTATTCCTCCCAGTAGAGGAGGGACATCAGAAAGCTCCTCCCAAGGATGGGGCCCAGGGTAGACCTCATCATTTCCCACTTGGCTGCTAGCTGGACTTCAATACTGTCTCCAGAAATGCATCTTTCGCCAAATACCTCTCTGGAGCAAAACTGTATCTTATTTTGTGTGACTCAGTTTCCAGGTGCCTAGATCATTGACCCTCAACAAATTTTTAGGTTTAAATAGTAGATCGCTGAAGTCATTATCTCCCCCTCCCTCCCATCAATCCCCGTTTCTCTCCTCCCTCTCCTTGGTCCTTCGTTTGTAATATTTAGATATCTCGCTTTCCCCAGACACTTTATTTAAGGTCCCAAGCACCTAGCCTTTAGCTCTTCTTTCAGCCTCCTAATTCCTCAGATGTCCTGAGTGAAAACCTATCGACTCTCTCCCACAAGCCCTTGAATCTCAGAAGCTTTCCAACCTTTCCGCGGGTCTTCCTCTAATCCCAGACCCCGGTGTAAGCTCCAGGTTTCAGGCACCGATCTCTTCCAGAACCCGGCAGTTCCTTCATTCATTCTCATCCTGCGCTCCTCCCCAGGCACCAAACTGTTCTCTCTCCTCGCCCGGCCTCTAGCCCGGCCTCCCGCAGACCCCAGGCATCGGGTCTTCCCACGCCCCGGGTCCTCCTTCTCGTCCCCCGCCCAAATCCCACATAGCTCGTTACCGTTACCGGCTCCGGCCCCAGCCCAGCAGCTCCGGCCTCGCCCTGCCCTAGGAGGAAGATGTCGGCTCCCGTCTTCCTCCGAGCTCCGGCTCCGGCCCAGCTCGGCTCCTGGGCCCGGGCGCGGTCCGGCCCCTCCCCAGGGTGTGGGGTCGGACTCACAGGCCGGGCTGCCCCGGGGCTGGGTCTCCTCCCCTCGGCGATCGGTGGCAGGGACGCCGGCGGCCTCTCTCGGGGCACACCAAGGACAGCGAAAGCCGCAGCGAACAATGGACAGGAAGCACGGCCTGGGAGGCGGGACCGCTGCCACGCACTTCCGGGATCCCCCTAGGACCGTCAGTGCTCGCATCCTTCTGATGCTGTTTCATCTTTCGGAATAGTTTAATGTCGAGGAAAGAGGACTTGCTTGGGATTTCTTCAAGGCCCTGCTGCCTACTACAGATGTGAACTTCCCTTTTCTGTGCATTCCCTTTTCTGGGCCTACGCTTCCTTATCTGTAAAATGAGAGGACAGTACTAGCAGCAGGTGTGTGTACGTATGTATTATGTGTATCTATGCATGTTTGAGTGTGAGTTGTTTCAGCTCAGCACCACTATTATATACTTTATACATGCATACATTCACACACACACATCACCTTTATGTAGACCTGTCTTCTCTCCTAGGCTTGACTATCTCCAGCCACTTCCTCAGTTTCTCCTTTCTGAGAGTGGCTTTCCTCTATAACCAAACCAGACAGAAAAAAAGGGGGCCCAATAACAACATAGTCTATTTCACTAGACCCGGGCACTAGAGGGCCCCCATTATAAGTAATCACTCTGCTCTGAGAAATTGCAAAAATGAAACAATAGTCCTCTTCTATAGCTTTGTGCCTCCAGCAAGAAATAATGCTCTGGCAAACTACTGCAATTTTACATTTCTTTCTCTACCCCTGCCAGGACCTAGCCATCCGTGCCCCCCCCCATTGTCCCCTAACAACTTCATTCTCAATAATTCACCCAGATTAGCAGTTCACAGCTGCTGACTAGTTTAATGTTTAAACAAAGATAGGTAAACATATTTGGAGGAGGAGGATACAGTGGCACTTATCTTGAGCTTTCCTAGATGCAGCCTCCCTTGCCTAATTATGGAAACACTAGTCAGCTGGTCAAGACAGGGCATGGTAACTTCCATTGTCTTAGGCACCCACCAAGTGTGAAAGGCCCTGACCTTACTTGGGTTGGGGGAAGCAGGGGCCAAGCACTTGAAAATTTGTAAAGTATTTTATATGTCTTATCTCATTTGATCCTGTGATAGAACTAATATCTACCAGTATTTCCCTAAAACATAGGTTAGGCCCTTGCCTCCTCCTTTCCCCTTGTGTTAGGATTAGTTTTCTCCAAAAGGATACAAAGTGGTCCACACTGGTATAGGACTGCTCAGCATGGTGTACCCACATCAGAGAAGGTGGTGTGCTCTCTGAGCAAAGCAGAATTGAAAGAGCTCAAAAGAAATGCAAGATGTGCAAATTTAGAGAATCCACCCCCAATGTTCACATGGACTATTTGTGCCTGACCTGTGGTAGAACATTTAGAGCTTGTATTGGTCTGATCAGCCTCAGGTGACATACTGAAACTTGACTCTAACATAGTGATATCATTTTGGTCCTCTTCTGGAGCAAAGGACAGCTAACAACCAACCATGTGTTCCTGAATTAAGCTTATTCAGACCTGTACTTAAATTGTAAGCTGATTTTTTTCTTCTTCTGTAATTGAAAGGAAGGAGGTGATGGTCATGTTGGACAAGTAAACACACCGACTGCACCATTTCTTAGGAATGAGACACAGGAGGGCTTCTAGCACCTCTCTCACTAGCAGGTTCGCTTTTGATCTGGTCAGATGGGAAGACAGGAATGGAGTCATAATAAGGGATTCATTAAGTTTACTTTATTTCAGTCTAGTCTTCTCAAAGGGAGTTTGCTGATAATGGGAGCACCAACTCCTACAGCATTCCCTAACAACTCTTCTCGCAGGGGCTAGCGTGAAAGGGGGGCAACTACCCCATGTCTCAATGGGGTCAGTCGAGACCAGTACAACTTGTGCCCTCCCCTAAATCCCTTCAAGCTTCAATGTGGGCTGGCTGAGGCAAACACACAGATTCCCCCTCTTAAGCCTTGACGGGGGCCAATCAAGGCACACATAGCATTTAGCCTGCGCGTTTGCCCCTATGGGGGTCCCCAGTTACTGACCAATACCTACTTGCTTTATAGGGCAACAGACAAAGAAGGCATATTGCCAGCAATAGCCTCACAATTTTACATCACGTCACCCCTGTATCTACTGCATAAGCAGTAACTGTTGTGAACCATGATTGTGAGAACTCATATCTAACACCTGGGAAGTACAGACTGTTATGGCTGTGGATCCTGGGAAGAAAACTCTGGGAAAGAATAACAAAGAATCCACTTTGCACACACTAAAATTCACCTTTCTTACAGGTCACATAGAGGAATATCAGTTATGAAATCTAGGGCACTTGGTTTATGACAAGATCAAGAGTATGACTACTGCTGTGAGTAGCTACCACAGAGTAATGGTTCAAATAATGAGCATTGATGAAGTCAATGAACTTGGAAGTAAGGGTATTCGAAAGGAAGGGGAGAAGGGAATAGGCGTTTATATATGATCTACTCTGTGCCAGATACTGTGCCAAGCACTTTATAAAAATATTATCTCGTTTGATCCTCACAACAATCCTGTGAGGTGTTATTATTATGTTCATTTTGCAATTGAGGAAACTGAGGCAAACAGAGGTTAAGTGACTTGTCCAGATTCATACCACTTGTAAGTGCCTGAGTTTGAATTTGAACTCAGGTCTTCCTGACTCTGGGTCTTGTGCTTGATTCACTGTGACACCCACCTTGGTCTAGCCCAGTGAAATTTGAACTTCCAATCTCTGGTTTACAAAATCAGTGCTCTAACCTGTGCTTTAACATAGCTAGGGGAACTGGCAGACTCTAGCTCCAATAACTACTATGTGCTTTCAATGTAGCCCAGCTGGGCAGATGTCCTGTGGTGGCCCAACCTCTGAGTGCTTTGGCACAGCCCATGGCTGTGAGTGGACCTCCATGTGCTTCAGCATAGCCCAGGGCAAACAGTCATTGTCTAGGGGCCAGACCTCCACATGCCTCAGTATAGCCCTGGAGGAATGCAGAAAACCACCACCTGGCCTCAGCACATGCCAAACACTGGACCCCAGCTTGGCACCAGGTAAGCTGCCAGAGTCCTACAGCCTACAGCAGTGCCAGCTATTCCCCCACCCCACTTCCTTACCACAGCACTGAACATGAGGGTCCCCCAGGGGCCTCCAGGCAACATCAGTGCAGCACCAGGTAAACATCCAGGGCCTATAGCCACTGGCACAAGAATCCTGAGACAAAGCCCCTTCCACCCTGGGAGCAGAGATCAAATTTAAAAGAAAGGAACCCCCCCAAAAAAAAGATGAGCAAAAAAGAAAAAAGAATCTGCCATAGAAAGTTATTATGCTGACAGGAAAGAACAAGACAGGAACTCAGAAGAGGACAACGATGTCAAAACAACTATGGGCAAAGCCCCAAAGAAAAATAGGAAGTGGTCTCAAGTCCAGAAAGAACTCATGGAAGAGTTCAAAAAGTAGCTTAAAATCATATAAGAGAGGTAGAAGAAAAATTGGGAACAGAAATAAGAGTGATTCAAGATAATCATGAAAAAAGAGTCAACAGCTTGGAAAAAGAAAGCAATTGCTTAAAAAGTACAATTGGCCAAATGGAAAAGGCAGTATAAAAGCTGAGGAAAACAGAGCCTTAAAGGTTAGAATCAGACAAGGTGAAGGTAATGACTCCATGAGACATCAAGAATCAATCAAACAAATTCAAAAGAATGAAGAAATAGAAGAAAATGTAAAATGCCTAATGGGAAAAGCAATTGACCTGGAAAACAGATTTAGGAGAAAGAGTGTCAGAATCATTGGACTACCTGAAAACTATAATTGAAAGGAGGACCTAGGCAGTATCTTTCAAGAAATTATCAGGAAAACTTCCCTGATATCTTGGGATCAGAGAGCAAAATAGGCATTGAAAGAATCTACCAGTCACCTCAAGAAAGAGATCCCAAAATACAGAACTAGGCCAAGGAAAAAATACAGCAAGTGGTCAGAAAGAAACAATTCAAATATCAGGAAGCAATAATTAGGATTACACATGACTTGGCAGCTGCAACATTAAAGGATCAGAGGTCATGAAACATGACATTCTAGAAGGCAAAGGAGCTAGGACTACAATCAAGAATCACTTCAAGGGCAAAAATGGTCATTCAATGAAGTAGAAGAATTTTAGGCTTTCGTAAGAAGACTGGAATTGAACAACAAAAAAAATTGACTTCCAACATCAAGATCCAAGAGAAGCCTAAAAAAATTTAAAGGGGGTTTTGCTTCTGGGAGCCAAGATGGCAAAATAAGAAGTAAGTCGCTCTCACCCTCCCTTATTGACCTCTAAAAACCCAGAATATATCACCTCAGGAAAAGCCCTGGAGCAGCTGAACCAGCAGAAAGATAGGGTGCAGCAGTCTTATAGCCCAGGAAGCTTGGGGGATTAATGGGAAAGGCTCCTCTCACTCTAGGGGAGAGGGAGCAGTACAGGACAGGAGGTATCTTGGCAAGCCAGAGGCAAGCCCCATCTCAGCATACCAGAGAGAGATCCTGAGCCCCAGAATGGTGAAGCAGGCAAGCGCCAACACCAGGACCCCTGAATACCTCAGTACAGGCAGGGGAAGTGGTAGACACCAGCGTGGAACACCACCACATGCAATGGCGTTCTCCAGCAGCCAAATCTCCCAGTGCTTCAGAACAACTCCAGGAGGTAAAGCTCCAGACTGACAGACATCCTCCAGCAGCCAAACATACGAGTGCAAGGCCCAGGTAAGCAGGAGCCAAACATTTGGGTACAAAGCCCAGGTAAGCAAACATCCCCCAGGAGCCAGCCTCCTCACCCCCACCCTGAGAGCTCCAGTGTTGCTGACCTTAGCCCAGCACCAGATAAGCTGACAGACCTGTACAGTCTCCAACTGCCAGTACCAGAGGCCCCAGCACACTAAGCCAGTGACCAGGTCCCGGGTTCCCAGCAAAAGGAGCTTGAGTCAGTGTCCCCCTAGACTCCAGCAGGAGAGCTCAACTTTTTGTATAAGTCAGGAAACAGACAAACACCATAAGCAAAAAACAGGAATAGATAATGACCATAGATTCTTATTATGGGGGCAGGGAAGATCAAAGCACAAATTCAGAAGAGGACATTGCCAATATACACACATCAGAAACCTCAAAGGGGAATATGAACTGGTATCCAGCCCAAAAAGCCTTCTTGGAAGAGCTCAAAAAGGATTTTA